GGCCCAAACCTCTAGTGACATTGTCTGTTTTGGGCCTAGGCTTGCATGAATTTAAAATGTGTCACTAGTTGGTAAGGTCTACTTACTTATATACCCAACATATCTCTTGTATTTTTTCGATGTGAGACTTCTAATCTTAAATTGGGGTGTCACATAATATCAAGAAAAATATATAAAAAATGAAGTAAATCTTTTAGGTGGGAGTTTCTCTTAATCGACACACACCACATGAGCTCATGATGCACCAAAGAATTCCCAAGTTGGGAGGGTGCCATATACCTTTCCAGAGAATAGAACATGTATGTCTAATGTGGATCTACTAATTGAGTCTCAAGGGGATAAAAGAGTTGACTGTCAAAGTGACATACTCAAATCCTACGGTGACACATAGTTATAAGACTTGAATTTTCTAAACTCTTGTTCTCTTGGTGCAAAATAATCATCCCAAAATAATATACTTATCTGATATGCTCATAATTCGGTAAAATATATGTTTGATTGAATAAAGGGTGAGATAAACTCAAATCTTTCTGAAGTCTTATACATAAATCTATTCTAAATCATATCTTTCAAATCATGTTCATAGCTTAAATCATGAGAAAAATTCTAGAATATTCATATCTTGTGACTTATCAAAATAGCTTTCATAATAACATAAAGACGGTAAAATCATGCTTCAGAATATAAGTTTAATGAACCATAAACAGTAACATTTCAAGAACTAATAAGGATGACAATCGTCACGCCCCAAGGCTACCCCCTTGACGTAACACGGGACCTAGGATCACGAGTGACCCCAAGCTAACTTTGTGTCTAGCATATCATAAGCATACTATAAAAGTTACTGAATAAAATATGTACTATGCGGAAGCTAAAACAATGGATAACTGAAAGTGGGGAAAAATCCAACTAGTCTGAATATATATAAAATACTAAGAGTTTAGTGATAACAGAAAGTACCACTTAACAACTCAAACTGAATCTACTACTATGTATGAAAATCCTCTAACTGAGTTGAGTTGCTGCAATCCAAATTGCACAATTTATGATTCGAATTCATCATATTTATGATCCAAATTGCACAATTTCTTGAACTTTTTATTCATGATTATGGATTCTTGACTAATGCACTTATTTTTTTATACTTAGTAAGGTTTTTCATTGGTATCCTTATTGGTTCTTGACATGTTATGGTTTATGATTCATGAAGCTTATATTTCAAAGCATGATTTTTCCTTCTTTATGCTATTATAAAAGTTATCTTGAGAAGTCACAAAATATGCATGTTCTAGAAATTTTCTCATGGTTTGAAAGATATGTTTTAGAGGAAATTTCAATATATGAATTTAGAAATAAAGATTTGAGCTTTGCTCACCCTTTATTCAATCAAATAAATATTTTATCAAATTGTGAGCATATGATATAAGTACATTATTTTGGGAGAATTATTTAGCAGCGAGAGGACACGAGTTTAGAAAATTTAAGTTCCATAAATACGTGTTACCACAGAATTTGAGTATGCTCGACCTAGCTTTGTGACAGAGGTTAGATGTTTTGTGGACTTGCTAACTATTATCGCAGGTTTGTGAAGAACTTTGCTTTTATTGCTATGTATTTGACCAAGTTGACTCAAAAGGAGGTACCGTTCGAGTGGTCAGACAAATGTGAAAAGAGTTTCCAAATGCTCAAGGATCTCTTTGACTACAACATCTATCTTGACCTTGCTGGTGGAAAGTAAGGATTACAGTGTTTATTGTGATGCTTCACAATCAGGCTTGGACGTTGGGTTGATGCAGGAAAGGAATGTTATAGCTTATGCTTTCAAACAGTTGAAGGTTCATAAGATGAACTACCACACCCATGATTTAGAATTGGCAGCGGTAGTGTTTGCTCTCAAAAACTAGTGGTGTTATATATATTAGGTTAAGTATGAGGTACTCATTGATCATTGCAGTCTTCATAATGTATTCACTCAGAAGGATCGAAATTTGAGGCAGAGAATATGAATGTACTTGCTCAAGGATTATGATGTGATCATTCAGTATCATCCGGGTAAGGCTAATGTAGTGGAATACACATTGAGCCGAAAGACAAATAGCATGGATAGTTTGTCTTTCTTGGGGGTGTCTAAGCAACCCTTGGCTAGAGAGATTTAGATTTTAGAGTCTAAATCTATGCAGTTAAGTATCTCTGAGAAGGGTGGGTCTTAGCCAGTATTGATGTTAAGACCACCTTTATAGAGAAAATCAAGGTTAAGAAATTTGAGGATGAAGAATTTGTTAAACTCAAAGGTAAGGTAGTGTCTGGGGAGACCCAAGATGTAACTCTCGATGGAGATGGTTTGCTCTATTTTAAAGGAAGGATTGTGTTCCTTGGGTTGGTGATCTAATCCAAAATGTGTTGGAAGAGGCTCGTAGTTTGCGGTATTCTATTTATCTGGGTGTGACCAATATGTATAGATATTTGAAGCTACTTTATTGGTAGTCTGGGATGAAGAAAGACATTACAGAGTATGTTTCTAAGTCTCAGAATTGTCAACAAGGTAAAGTATGAACACCAAAGGCATGTAGGTTTGCTTTAGGGAATTCTTATTTCTGAATGGAAGTAGAAAATGATAGCCATGGATTTCGTAGTCGGACTACCTAAGAACCTAGGGAAATACGATTTGATTTGGATCGTAGTTGATAGGTTGACTAAATCAACACACTTCATTCTCGTAAGAGTGGATTACAACTCTCAATAGTTGGCGACTATTTATGTCAACGAGATAGTAAGGTTGCATGGGGTGCCCCTTTCTATCATTTCAGATCGTGGAACTCAGTTTTCTTCGAAGCTTTGGGGTAACTTACATGAGGCATTAGGCACTCAACTCACTTTCAATACAGCTTTCCATCCACAGACTGACGGTCAGTTAGAGAGGACCACTCAGGTATTGAAAGATATGTCAAAGGGCGTGTGAAATTTATTTTGAAGACCATTAGGATTAGTTTTTACCCTTATGCGATTTCTCCAACATTAATAGTTACCACTTCATCATTGATATGACACCATTTGAGGCACTCAATGAGCAGAGATGCAGATCACCCATAGGTTGGTTTGAGGTAGGAGATGTTAAACCTTTGGGTGTAGATTTGGTCAGGAAAGCTCAAGGAAAGGGTGAGAGAGATTCAGGCTAAGTTGTTGGCAGCCTAGAGTAGGAAGGAGTATAAGGATTGCAAGGTAAGGGACATTATATTTCAGGTTGGTGATCAGGTTCTATTGAAGGTGTCATCGATGAAAGGAGTCATAAAGTTTAGTAAGAAAGGTAAGTTTAACCCTCGTTACATTGGTCCATTTGAGATTTTTGAAGGTGTAGGGCCAATGTCTTACAGGTTAGCAATGCCACCCAACCTTTCTGGAGTTCATCCCATGTTTCATGTATCTATGCTAAAGAATTATCATGGGGATGAACACTACATCATCATGTGGGACTCAATATTGTTGGATAAAGACTAGAAATATAAAGCGGAATCTATTGCAATTCTTGATTGGGATATTCGAAAGCTATGGAGAAAGGAAATCAATTCAGTAAAGATTCAGTGGAAAAATCGTCTGATTGAGGAGGCTATTTAGGAGACATGAAGGGAGATATGATACAAGTACCCTCTCTTGTCCCTATATTTAGGTACTACCTTTTTTTTCTATTTTTCCCAGTTTTCTTATTTAATCAGTCAGGGACGAACAATAGGTAAATTAATATCTATTGTAATGACTCGATCCGGTCGTTATGAGTAGACCAAGAGTGAAAGAATTTGGGCTTGAAAACTTTTTGAGTAGCGACTTAAATTTTTTTGGCTAGGCCAGCCTCAGACGGAATTTGAAATAGGTGAGATCTAGGGTCATCCGAGAATGAATGGGGTGTGATGTCTAGGCATGGTTGATATATTCATGTATCTAAGACATTATGGAATCCATGAGGCTATACGAAATTGAATTCGGATAAGTAGAAATTCAGGATGCAGTATCAAGTAGTTAAACACTAAAAATAACTACATATAATATTCATGTACACAAAAAAAATGTTGCCATTTTGAGAAAAACTGTGCAAACAATTTCGAGTAGCAATAAATGTTTGAACAATTTCATGATGGATGCAACTTATGTACTTGTGAGAACACGTTCACCAATGTTAAATGATGGTTCTATTGATACAATTGTAATAGGAATACTAAGTACATCACGTTTGATGATTCTACATTTTAATATTTTAAACTTTAAATAGAATTTGAGTTTGGAATTTTGATATTTTTAATATGATATTTTATTTTTATTTAACCAACGGGCCGACCAAACCCATATTGATGAAGCTTCACAGACCAGCGGGCTTATTCGAACTGGGCTAAAAATCCCTTTTCTTAAATGGGATCCAAAAAGCTTAACCTAACCATGTTACACTACTAGAAAAGTGCATATTACATGGGGATTTATTTGCGGATTATATATGAAAATTCGCAGGTAACCTAGTTTCCTACAGATTCTCCTACCAAAAGAAATTCGATGGTAAAACCTTCCTAGGTAATTATTACCTGCAGATTTTAAAATCCCCAAATAAATTATCTTTTTAAAACCCTATCTAAATTACTTACGAAGTTTCTTGCAAAAATATTAAAAGTTCGCAAGAAATTTTTGGTAAAATTATGTGACAAAAAGGATATTTTTTTGCAGTTTTTCATAGGAAAAAAATCTGCAAGTAATTAGTTTTTAATTCAATTTTACATATTAATTTTTTTATGAACAATACTTTTCAGGGATATACACAATTACACCCCACTGCCACCCTATTATTAACTATATTGTTCTTAATTCATTTTTTATATCATTAATTCTTGTTTCTTTTAATGATTTATGATATAGCTCTTATCAGTGGCGGACCCAGGATTTTCACGAAGTGGGTTCAAGATATAAAAAATAAATAAGCAAAAATGCAAACAAAACAAATTTTGATTAATTAAAATATATCATTACAATTCTATTCTACGAGTTTTCATTTCTTGAAACCTATTCATAATACTCTCATCAGAAATAGTATTAAATATTCTTTTCTCTACATAAGGCACCATACAACTACTCAGAAAATCATCATCCATTCGATTTCGCAATTCACTCTTGATCAACTTCATTGCCGAGAAAGCTCTTTCAACTGTAGCAGTAGCAACCGGCAGGAGCAACGCAAATTTTATAAGGCGAAACACAAGAGGATAGTTTAAATGCTTCTTTACCTTAACTAGCATTTCAGAAAGATCGCCAAGCCCTTTTAAGTTGGAGAACCTTTTATCAACATCACGGACATCAACTATATAAGTCTCTAGCTGATTCCTAAGAGTAACCATTACATTTTCACCAAAATCATCAGGATATAATTCAGCCATTCTCAATATGTTCTTGATGTCAAAACTAGAAAATGAGTCAACTGGATTCAAGCAAGCAACTCCAATAAGCAAATTTGTTCTAACCTCATTAAAACGATCATTGAGTTCTTGAAGCTGCCAATCAATAATCTTAAAAAATACTTCCACACGATAGTGATGTGAAATAGTATACTCAGCAACTTTACGTCGAGATCTTCCAAAATTAACATAGAACTCATCAAAATTAGGTATCAAAATATCATACTTGACACAAAATGCGGACACATTCTCGACAAGTGAATCCCATCCTTCATTCCTTAAATCTTGCAATCGTTTCTTCACCACTTTAACAAGTAGAATGGCATTTGCAATATCTTGTTCTTTCTTTTGTAAAGACTCATTAAGCTCATTTGTGATCGCTAAAATATCTCTCATTAAATGCAATATGAAAGCAATCTCAAATGTTTGACAAACTTTAAGATATCCGGTTGCCTTAGCTTTTTCTTCAACAGATTCAGAATCAACAACAATAGTATCAAGAACATCAGTAATAGAGCCAAACATACTAATGAAGTTCTTAAAAGATTTGTAATGTGAACCCCACCGAGTATTGGCAGCTCTAGCAAGACCAAGTTCTTGATTCAATCCTTTACCACTTTCAACCTCACCCATATCAAGTGCCACTTGAACTTTTTTTGCTTGAGATTCTCGAAGTTCATCCATACGTTTAAAAGAACCTCCCACTACATTTAAGACATTAGAAACCAACAATACAAGTTCTCCAACTTGAAGGCATTTTTTAGATACCCCAACAAGAGTTAACTGAAGTTGGTGAGCAAAACAATGAATTGCATGAGCTGATTTACTTTCTTGTTGAATCAAAACTTTAAGGCCACTTAAACGCCCTTGCATATTGCTAGCTCCATCATAGCATTGCCCTCGTATAAAAGATAAACTCAAAGAATGTTGCGCAAGATAGTTAACAATAGCTTCTTTCAAACATAAAGCACTAGTATCATGAACATGAATAATTCCTATGAACCGTTCCACCACAGACCCCTTTCTATCAACATAACGCAAAACAATTGTCATTTGCTCCTTACGCGATATATCACAAGATTCATCAACTAACAATGAAAAATAGTCACCGTTTAGATCCTCCATAATAGCTTTAATTGTTTCAAGCTTACATGCAGTGACTATATCTTTTTGAATTTTATGAGAAGTCATCTGGTCATTTTTTGGAGCCTTTTTCAACACAAGTTCACCAATTTTATCACACCGCTTCGCATACCATGAAAGAATTTCAAGAAAGTTACCTTTGTTTAGCGATGATTCATCTTCACGATGTCCACGAAATGCCAATCCTTGATTCAAGAGAAGTCTCGCCACTTCAATTGAAGCCTTTAAGCGAATTTTGTGCTCAAGCTTGGTTTGATTTGATAGCTTAACAAATGCGGCTTGAATTGATTGTTCTTGTCGCATTAGATCTTCACACTTCTTCTTTGCCTGATTGTGAACACTATTTGACTTACCAATATGCATATCTAATCTTTTCTTTTTGTGCCAACTCCTGAACCCTATACTTGAAAATGTTTCACCTCCACCTTGATGAATGCTTTCATCTTGAAATACATAACAACACAAACAATAAGCTGCATCTTCAGTCACACTATACTCCAACCAATCATGATATTTTTTAAACCATTTGC